CACGTCCTCAGTGAGACCCGCTTCCTCTCATGGAGGAGCATTGGAGTCTACTTGACTCCTAGATCGGGAGCCTCCATGAGGTTTACCAGTCGCCTTGCCATTTTGAACCGAGGCAGCGACTGCTCCACCCGCTGCAGCCTCTACTCTGCCCACCTCTGCACCTACTCCCTCATGGAAGTCGTTATCCAACTCGATGGTGGATCCGTCGTTGTCGACGAACATTATGCGACCCTTCGCCTTCCAGTTGGGAGGCAGTGTTTTCTTCCTTCCATCTGTAGTGGGTTGGTGCCCGTGCCCTATCTTTGCATCCAGGTCTAGGGCCTTCTTGCTAAACGAAGGAAAGTTATGCACATTGATGTTAGCCTCTCCTGCCAACTGGTTCCTGAGTGGCATGGGAAGACACCTCAGGCAAGTTGTCAGTTGTCAGTAAGACTTGGGGGTCATAGCGTACTCCAGGAACACAGATCAGTCCCTCTACATTGTCTGTGGCATCCCTCAATGACTTGAACGGTCTGTTGCTTAAAGTCAGGATCACATCAGTGGCCTTTTGGGCCTCCTGAGGATCATGCCATCTTTCCTCCACTATCTTGAGGAAGTCTTCCAGTTTCTGGTTGACCGCCCAAGCGGGGAAGTCGTGTCCATATCCCTGCAGTTGCACTAGCCGGCTTAACCATCGTGCTGCGCTCCCCTCGAGATAGGAGGCAGCCACAAGCACTTCCTCGTGTGGCAAGGTCAACTTGCACTTAACGTAGACAGGCACTGACCTCAACCATGTGTCGAGGTCTTCGCCCCTCGTGTCCCCTGAAAAGGGTTTGGGTGAGGCGATGACCGTCTTTGGAACACACTGGCCTTGTCCCGGTACCTGCCCCACTCCGGGCTGTGGACCCTGGGGCGCAGGCTGCTGCACTAACTGCTGTTGGGGCTATGTGCCCAGCGGTTGTGCAGGCTGCGAGACAGCAGGCTGCCTTGTTACGGCAACCTGCGACGGAGGTTGGGAATACACTATCTGTACAGGAATCTGTACACTAGGACCTGCGGAGAACCCTCCTATCAAAGGCATTCCTAGGGAAGCGGCCTGCACCGGTGCTGGAGGACTTGTCAGGTCCATCTCCTCTAACTCACTAATGTCCGCTTGTCTCCGTTGCATCCTTGATCTTCTCCTGATCATTCTTTCTTTTTCTGCCTTTATCTCTCCTAAAGCCTTCTGTAGCTGTGCCTCCTGAGCATCTGCTTGTTGTATGACGACCTCTTCGGCGGTCAATACTAACGCCTGGCTTGCCATGATGCCAACGGACTGACTCAGGGTCTGTGCGACCGTTGACCCTACAGTCCCTGAACTACTAGCTGGAGAGCTCTGCTGCGCAGCAGTTGCCATGTCTGCTGAAGTAGCGGCCTCGCTTGCGAATGCCCTGCTTGCCTCTGCGGCCCTAGCTCTTCGCTGCTGCTGCTGCCTCTCTCTCTTGCTGGCGGAACAGTAATCTGTCACCCTCTGGTCCTAATGCCAAGTGGGCTATCGGGCGCCTCGCTGATCGCAGGATCCTGTCATCCTCTCTAGTTTCCTCCCTGTCGCTCATAAGCTACAGAACTGCGCACAATCTGCACTAGGTCACATACGATGCCTACCGCAGCGTAATGCACAGACCAATTAAAAATAATCTAGGCTGGTCCTCAGGCCACCCGGCGGCCTGGCCGTCGCCCGGGGGAGGGTGCCGGGCCGCCTGGCCGGTTGTCGCGCCCGGTTGGCCACCGGGCACCCCCAGCGCATCACTGTAGGTTAGTTTTTTTTTTTTTTTTTGGGCGCTGGRGCCCTTTTTGCCCCCTTCATAGACCATGTGGACCGCAAAAAAAAAAAAAACGGGGCCGGTAGGCCCGATTTCACCGATTTGAAATCGGGCCCCATCTGGATCGTCGATCTCGAAGATCGATGGCCCAGATTGCACCGATTTCAAATCGGTGAGGGCGGGAACTACCGGTTCCCGTTCCCTCCCCCGTGCTGAAGATGTGCCCCTGACATCCCCCCTTCCTTGCCTTGGAGCACTGTGTATCCGCCGGCCTTCGACACACAACTTCGATGCACCCCGCCAGCACCTGCCAACGCCCGCCATCGCGCCTGCCAACGGCCGCCTTCAACAAGGTAAGGGCCTGTGACAGTTACCCGTGCCCAACTGCCCGCAGCCTGTGTTGGGTCCTTGTTGCGTATTTCGCCCAGGGCCTGACTCAGATGCATTTGATAAAGGTAGCCAGGGCCTGGGCGCTTTCAACCAACTGGCGCTGCGCAAATGCCTGAATTTCCCCAGTAGCGTGGAGACCCCAAAATAGGCCTTGGTCGGGCCTGCCTTCACTTAGGGCGGCTGACTGTACTGAAAAGAGGGCCCAGTAGGGCTTATCGGGACCTTGAGCCTCACAATTTTGTTTGCGTGAGTTTTCCAGTCTGTTTGTTATCTTTGTTGTTGATGGTGATCCCAATGGAGTTTGAAGAAGATAATTTTTGTTGTACTCCGTGGTGAATCTGTAAAGACCCTAGCCGTCTGTCTTCACCCTAATAGAACGCCTGGTAATGATCGCTATATATAGAATGAAAGTTTGCACCAAATACAGTTATAATGACTGGTCATTCTATTCTTGTGACGACAGCAGTGGTTGTAATTTTTAAGGCACAGCAAAGTTCTAGGGGCAAAAGTTGAAATGGGGGCGGGTCAGAGAAAGTCCTTAGGTCTGTAAGCATGGGGTAAAGGGTGAAAAGTTTAAAACGAGGTTCCCAGAGTATCCCGAAGTCCAAGCAGGCCCAGCCACAGATTTTACTCAGTGCTGAGCACTGCCGTCTTCACCCGAATATAATGCCCTGTCATTATAGCTGTATTGGGGGCACTTTTCAGTACATATGCAGCGATAATGACTGGGCCTTCTATTCGGGTGAAGACGGTAGTGCCGAAAGAGGGTAGACTGGAGAGAGAAAGAATGATAGTGAGAGTAGCCATAGCTAGAGTACACAGTGCACTGGCACCACAGCTTATCACGGGAGAGTGAGGTGTGTGAAAGAGGAGGTTGGGGGGGGGG